GCTTATCCCTCCAAATAGAGGAGTTACAAGGTAAAACACTTTACACAAGGAGCCGATCTTCGACAAAGAATGAGTGAATCACGTTTCACCCTTCACGGCTTTGGTAAGCTCTAGAAAAGTGGAAGAGTTTCACTCCTCTAAGGGAAGAAGGAATCTCAATAATACAATAAAAGAAAATAATAATACAATAAAGGAAAGTAATACTTAAAGTAAAGGAAGTAATAAATTAAAAGAACACAATAATACAATAAAATAAAGCAATACTTAAAGAAAGCAATAAACAATTAAGAAAACAATACTTTTGGAGGATTTTCGACTACCAAAAGATGAATGATTTACAAGTCCTAAGGGGTGGTATTTATAGGCAACAAGGGATGATGAAAGTTTTGTTTGACGGCTATGAATTATACTTTGCTCCCCCTTTGTTTTAAACTTTGATAATTGGCACCATATAGTTTGCAACTTTGACAATTGGCACCGTATAGTTTGCAGCTTTGATAATTGGCTCCCCAGTAATTTGTAGCTTTGACACACAAAATCCTGAAAAGAACAACAATCAATGCATTATCCTTAAGTCACACACTAACCCTAATTTAATTTATTTTGACTAGTTTAACTTTATTTAACTAACACAATTTACCTATTAACTTAATTAAATTATGCCTTAATTAGGGTTAATCAATGATTGCATTGAGGTTGGTAAAGAGTGCTTTGAATTAGATTTTAGAAATTAAGGTGAGTAGTTTACTACTTCTTTTGGGAGGATTTTCTATATTAAACTATGGGTGTATATGTGTGAATTTTCATATATATGATATATGCTGATGTTTGGGTTTGCAATTAAATATTTTGTAATTGTGAATTGGAAAAATGTATGGGACGATTTTATATTATTGCTTAAATGTGTTTTGGTAATGAAAGAAAAATTTTGTGTGCGTTGGGACTAAAACAACAGTTTTAGTGTGTGTGTTGAAATCATGTTTTATGAGAAGGGGACTGAGTTACCAGATCTGAGTGGTAATGAGATTGTATGCCGGCGTGGTCGATATAGGGATGTACACGTAGGGGCCAATTATTAGGCTAGTGATAACAAGAGATGAGGCCAGTCATCAAACTAGTGATGAGAAGATATGGAGTCAGTTACCCGGCTAGTGGTAACAAACATGATTTGACAAATGTACTTGGGACTGAATGTGTGTGTTAGTGTTTTGGGTTATAAATATCATTTTATTTATAAAGTTATTTGTGAGCATGAGATTATTTTGTTTACATGATTATGTGGGAGGGATTGGGGTACAATTTATTGTACTTATATATGTATCAAAGTTTATTTTGTATATAAATTGTGAGATTTATTTTCACACCTCATTAGAGGTGGTTGCTATTCACGGGTCTTTGCGCTCACCCAAACATTTAACATTTTTCAGGTGAGAATCAGGGGGAGGAGTTAGTCCCTAGATAGACAAAGGATTAGAAGAATTGAAGATTTATTTTATTGTAAGTCTTTAGGAATAAATGTCTATTATGGTTTTGAGACAGATATTTAATTATTTTGGGAATAATGCTGTTTATGTTTAGACTTTAGAGTAGTGAACCTTATGATTTAGTTATTATTTTACATGAGTTTAATAATGATGTTGGTGATGTTTAGTTTATTCCTATGGTATTTATTAGGTCGATGGATTAAATCACTTTATTATTTGTCTTCCGTTGTATTTGACATTTATTATGCACAAGGTTTATTGGTTAAGACCTTGGTGGCCGGTCCACTGTCCACCCTATGTGATCTAGGGTGGGGGTGTGATAAAAGTGGTATCAGAGCCTAGGTTTATGGATTACCAGATAATTAGGCTGAATCTTAAGAATTATTTAGGGTTTAATTGATTTGGTTTGAGAGATGTGGAATGATGATACTAGTGCATAGTATTATTATTTTGGTGACTAAGACAAATTAGTTTGTTTTGTATTTTGTAGAAGTATAGATGGCTACAAGAAGGAAAGGCAAAGGGGCTCCAAATGATAGGGCTGACACTAACGACTTTCCAGGGCTTGCAAATGATGAGTCGCAACTGTTTGTCTATAAGGATATTGGGAAGGCTTTGTAGGGAATCACAAAGATCCTTGAAGGGCCGAAGGGTCAGAAGGAACTTAGCATTGAGGAGTTTAGGAGGATGGCGCCTACTTTCACAGGGACTACTACCCCTATGGATGTAGAGAGTTGGATCATGGAAGTTGAAAAAATTTTGGAGGTCTTAAAGTGCGATGATGGTAAGAAAGTGGCTTATGTAGCTTTTATGTTTAAGGAGGAAGCTGAACATTGGTGGAGGATAAAGAAGGAAGTGAAGAGATACCCGACCACTCCAATGACTTGGGAGCAATTTAAGATTGGATTCTTGGAGAGATATTTTCCACAGGTAGAGAAGGATCGATTGACACAAGAGTTCATGAATTTGGCTCAAGGGGCACGACAGTTGGTGAGTACGAGGAGAAATTCACAAAATTAGCAAGGCATGCCATGCACATGGTAGCAGATGAGAGACATAAAGCAAGTATGTTGGAAAGAGGTCTGAAATGGAGCATTAAGGAGAAATTGATTGCCTTGGAACTACCAACATATCAAGAGGTTGTTCGCAAGGCTCAAGTTTTGGAGGGCAATGAAAAGGAAAGGGACAGGGAGAGGGAAAAAAAGAAGAGATCAAGCTCAAGAGGTGACTTAGGGGTGCTTCCCACAATTTCAAGAAGAGTGGACAAGGTACTTCATCATCTGGGTCTTTTGCACCAAGAGGACAACAGGGCACTAGACAGCTAGAAAAGTGTCAGAAGTGTGGGAGATTCCATGGGGACAAGTCGTGTTATGGGACCAATTGGGAACAACTTCTTTGCTTCCATTGTGGCAAATCAGGACACTCATCAAAGAATTGTTGGAGTGCTCAACGAAACAAACAAGCTAGTGAACAGACGGAGGTGACATGTTTCAAGTGCAACCAACGAGGACATATTGCAAATTTTTGTCCCCAACTAGTGCAGGGATCAGTAGGCAAGCCTCCAACTAAGACAGATGGTGCATCAAAATAGGGTCAACAGAAGCAAGGGTAGCAGAAGGAACAGAGGTTTGGTATGCAATCACACCAAAGAGCCCACAATATTCTAATTCCGTAGTCTTAGGTACTTTACTTATTTGTGAGCATGCATTTAAAGTACTTATTGATCCGAGGTCTACACATTCTTTTGCATCTCCTAGAGTAGCAATGAAATTAGGTGTTGGAACCCAAAACACTTGAGTTTGATTTGATTGTGACTACTCCCACGGGTGAATCTGAGTTAGGAGATGTCGTGTACCCAGGGTGTAGGGTCCACATTGAGGATAATCAATTACTGGTTGATTTAATACTCTTAGACCTTAAGGGTTTTGACGTAATCTTGGGTATGGACTAGTTAGCTGCGCACCATGCAACAATTGATTGTTTTGAAAAGAGAGTTGTGTTTCATCCTCCTAATCATACAAAATTTAGTTTCGAGGGGATAGGGATTATCTCCTTCCCCAGCCTTGTCTCTGTAGTACAAGCTCGAAGATTGTTGAGGAAAGGTTGTCAGAGATACATTGCTAACATTATAGATACGAGAAATGAGAGGTTGTCTCTTGAGGAGATACCAATAGTAAGGAAATTTCCAAAAGTATTCCCGGATGTCCTGCCGGGGTTGCCACCTGATAGAGAGATTGAGTTTGCTATTGACTTGGTACCTGGTACCAGTCCTACCTCCAAGGCTCCTTATCATATGGCACCAGTGGAGCTTAAAGAGTTGAAGGTGCAACTTTAAGAGTTGTTAGATTTGGGGTTTATTCGGCCTAGTGTGTCACCATGGGGCGCACTAGTATTGTTCGCGAAAAAGAAAGATGGAAGCATGAGACTTTGCATTGACTATAGGGAGTTGAACAAATTAACCATCAAGAATAAGTATCCTTTTCCCCGCATTGACGATTTGTTTGACCAACTAAGAGGTGCTAAAGTATTCTCGAAGATTGACCTTCGAACGGGTTACCACCAGTTGAAGATAAAGGTGGAGGATGTGCCTAAGACTGTTTTCCATACCCGTTATAGACACTATGAGTTTCTTGTGATGCCATTTGGGCTAACCAATGCACCAGTAGCCTTTATGGATCTCATGAATAGGGTGTTCAAGCAGTACTTGGATCAATTTGTAGTGGTATTTATTGAAAATATTTTGGTGTACTCGAAGAGTCCTGAGGAACATGAGCAACATTTAAGAATTGTTCTACAGACTCTTCGGGACCGAAGGCTTTATGCCAAGCTCAAGAAATGTGAGTTCTGGCTGACTAGTATATCATTTTTGGGACATGTGATTTCTAATGAAGGGGTGTCTGTGGATCCTCAAAAGGTGGTAGCAGTTAAAGATTGGCCTCGATCGATGAATGCTACTGAGGTACGTAGTTTCTTAGGTTTGGCAAGGTATTACAGGAAATTTGTCGAGGGTTTCTCCAAAATTGTCATTCCATTGACTCAGTTGACCCAGAAGAAGGTAGTTTTTCAGTGGACTGATGAATGTGAAAACAGTTTCAATGATTTAAAGGAAAGATTGGTGTCTACTCCAGTTCTTACTATACTTGTAGATAATGGTGGGTATGATATCTACTGTGATGCTTCGGGAAAGGGTTTGGTTGCGTGTTAATGCAACACAGGAAGGTTGTGGCTTATGCTTCTAGGCAGTTGAAACCTTATGAGCAGAATTACCCAACACATGATTTAGAGTTGGCAGCTGTTGTAGTTGCACTAAAGATATGGAGGCACTATTTGTATGGGGAGACATGTGAGCTATATATAGATCATAAGAGTCTTAAGTATTTATTTACACAGAAAGAGCTGAACATGAGACAATGAAGATGGCTAGAGCTAATCAAATACTATGATATGAATTTGCACTATCATCCAAAAAAAGCAAATGTGGTGGCAGATGCACTAAGTAGAAAGTTTACAAGGAGCATGACCTCTTTGCTTACTCAGCAAAAACAACTTGTGAGGGATCTTGAAGAGGCAAAAGTTGAGGTGGGGATACCTGAGACTAATGCTTTTGTAGCAAGCTTGCAAGTTCGACCTACCTTACTAGATCGAATAAAGGAGGCACAACTGAATGACCCGAATCTGCTGAAGATTCTAGAAGAAATAGGGCGAGGTGAGAAGACTGATTTTCATGTGGTAGATGGAGTGTTGAGATTTTGGGGATCGAGTATGCATACCTAATATTCCAGAGATCAAGAAACAATATTTATTATTTTTTTTTTTTGGCTGAGAATTTTTCATACTAAGTTAAAGCTTACATGTTAATAGGCTTCCTTTTAGTTGTTTCCCATTGCATTGAAGATTCAAAACCCCCCAAATCCAAGTTCGGGTCGGGTTTCACTGAAACCCTGATGGCTAATATGCTGCTTGCCACCTAAGAGGAAGCATGGGAGAGAATATAGCGGTGGTTGGGGCTGAAATTAAACTATGAATGTTGCAGGTGCCAGCTAATAGATACATGAAATGTGCACGTGTATGGGGCTTGCTGGAGTGGACTCCAATCAAATCAAATCAAATCATTGTGTTAATATTATCCGTATTGAAAGGTAGGATGAGATGGTAGGTCTCAGCTCCTCTTCAATACAGTTTTTTTCAATTTTGATTGAGCATAAATTATCACTCGGAAATTTAAGTGAAACATATATTTTATATAAGCAGACCCTCAATATATTGCAGATGATCTATTATTAAAATAAATTGGAAAAAAAAATGAATTAGAAAGAATCGAGATGCCATACTAGTGCTAGTGCCCCCGGGGTGTCACCAACTTGCATGATTGAGCTTTGGTGGCCCAACCCTCATGTGCTCCACATTCCGTACTGAAACCAATCTTTGCATCGTGTGGCCCTCTGCCAAGATATTTCTCCCAGCAAACAACCAAAGTTCCCTGCAATTAAGACACCCTCCTCAGTACTGTATGGTTTTAACACAAAATGTAACAAAAATCAACATATCATATGGAATTTGTGATGTTACATTATAATCTACCAAGGTACTACTAACTCAAGGTACCAAGCCTTTGTGGAACTTTATTAGGGCATCGACCCATGACATACTAACGTCTCAAAAATTAAAAGTTCCACAATTCCTCTCCTTCCGGGTGCATATATGATTTTTATGCGTAACTGTTGGATTTCATTAGTTTGGTATGAAGCGTTCAAAAGATCTCTCTCTTTCAAGCAAATACAACTGTGCAAAGCACCATGACCCTGTCTCCAGAGGATGAATCTATGCGCTGGCTTTTCAATTCTCTTTCAGCAGATGTAACATTTTACCACATGAACTGCGGGGCAAAAGCAACCATGACCAATGTTACTTGAATTATGGTTATTTTAATACGTGGTATGGGTATATGTATATAATACGACATTTTTTTAGATACGTGATATGACGAAGGTAGATTTAACTGGTATGGTATTTTGGGTGATATTTTATTTTAAAATTTTCATGTAGATCGTTTTTATTACTACACAACATTATATATTACAGAATATTCATAAACACTAAGTTAATTACTATTTATCTTATAGTTGTGCCTAATTTTTTATTATTTAAAATAATATATATTTATAAATATATGTACATGTAGTCAACTAATATGTATTTTATATTTGTGTTACATGTTTTAAAGTTAATTCATTTAAGGATAGTATTACAATTTAGGATTATCTATTTTGGTAATCTAGATCACAAACTTACCTCGTTTGAGATCAATATACCTAGACCATGGATCGTTTAATAAATTGTGCTGAACCATGACCATGACCATGGCCCATCTTCCATGGCTCCAATTCTGAATCAATTAATTTGGGCAAGAGATTTACTATTCAGATTTTAGTCGGACTTGAATGCATTTGAGAACCACAAAGTTGGGTTGTTAAACAAGAAACAAGTAGCATGCTTCCATGCTACATATGATGCGGCGGACAAGTTTTGTCAAAAGATACAAGACTATTTGATTTACGTTTCAAAAAATAGTATTTAAAAATAATTTTTTTAAAATATTTTTAATATTTTTAGAGATAATTTTTTTTTTAATTAGATGATTTCAAAAATAATTTTATAGAACGAAAAACAATAAAATCTATTTGAACAACTTGAATATATGTTTGGATAATAATTTAAAAATTAATAAAAAAATATGAAAAAATTATTTTTAAATAGACAATTTCATAAAAATATTCAATAAATCAAACTTCAAAATAAACCAAACTTTGAAATAAACTAAATATATTCAACTATGTTCAAGTTATAACATATTCAATATCAATTTATATAGAAAATCAATCAACCAAACACCAATCGATTTTTTTGAATCAAAAATCTCAGAACAACACCGATAACAAAATCAATATCAATAACATATTCAATATCTAAAAATCTCATCAATAACTGATTCAATATCAATGAACCATCAAATATGAGATCTGAAACCCCTTGTTTTATATATATGACCATATTTGAACCAAAAAAAACAGATCAGATAAAAAAAAAAATCAATTCTGTGTTTGATCGTCAATTGAAGCTGATAAAAAATTAGATCTGAACCAAAAAATTTGAGATCGGAAGCCCCTTGGTTTGTTTATATATATAACCAGATCTAAACCAAAAAAATCAATCATATCAAAAAAAAAAATCAGATTTGTGTTTTCGCTGATTAAACCTAATCTGAACCAATCTTCCGAGAGCTCGCAGTTGTCCAAGAGCTCAGGTGTCTGTCTGCGTATTTTGCCAGAGAAGACGTTCTGTCTGAGAGAGTCTGTGGAGAGAGAAAGACAAGGAGAGTGAGAGTGTAGGAGAGAGAAAGGCAAAAGAAAAAAAAAACTTTTATACTATAACTTGTTTTGCTTCTAAGGAGACTTGAATAAAAGACCTCATTAAAAAATTTAGTTGTTCTCCGTGATTTTCATTTTGTCCTTTTGTCTCCAAAAGACCTAAAACAAACTCAACTTGTTTCCCATTTTTTGTTCTTTACATCCCTCTTTTGCCATAAATTAGAGAACAAAAATTTAAACCAAACAAGTTTTCATTATTTTTAGAGATTTGAGAACAAAAAACAGTTTACAAGAATCAAATCAAACAGCCCCATAACTTTTCACTCGTGAATTCTCCATAGCCATAAAAGAGAAGGCAGCAAAAAGATTGGAAACTAGGGCACCCAGTGGCATTGGAGCACCCTTGTATGGACAGCCAGGCCAGTTAACAAGTACTTATCCCAAATCCATACTCAAGGAAACAGTAATGTGCCTACATAAATAACACCGCCGTACAGGCAGCACGCACTTCCAGTACTAATCAAGATGATAGGTTGAGCACCAAAGGCAATTAGTTAATCAGAAATTAGTGAATCATGGTACAAGAGAAATCTTACAGATGGAAAAGGTCCATAAAGACAATCCATCCTAGGAAAAGAATTCAAAAGATGGTGTAGACCATCTTTTTTTTCACCTATAAACGTGACTTCGGTTTGTGCTTGATGCCAAAATTAGATGATTATGTAGTGGTAGTTGGCCGACTATGAACTTCAAGTCTTGTATATAATCATCCTTCAAGCACTCAAGTTTCATTTTCTTGCCTATCATCATCTCTACTCACGGAGTTGATCAATATAGTTGAATTTTTATATAGCTACATAGTAGATTTAAACACCCCCAACCCGTACCCCCTTCTCTCTCTCTCTCTTTTCAAAAATATATATTTTACATTATCCACAAATAGCATGTTATAATTACAAGTGGGTATCGCACTTTGCCCAAGAAACTCATCCCATCCCTCTTTCAGATCTTATCTATTTCACAATTAACTTGTGGGGTCTGATTCTGGAGAACCAAAAAAGATCACTGAAACAGTATCATCCTCTTTTCTAACAGCAAAGAGAGAGAGAGACGTATATGACTCTAAATCACGGTATGCATGTTCGTACATGTTCGTATCAAAATGCAATACTATATAGGAGAGAAATATTCAGCATGGCAATGCACTGTCAACTAGAATACTTAAAAATATCATACACTCCGCTTGCATCCTAGCTGCACATTATAGTGACAATTTAATGATCTAAAACATTGGCTCTTTCCACTTCTTATATAAACCTTTCACTTTCGTACCAACGCCACCACTCAGAACTCTCTTTTCTCTCCTTCAAACTTTCATATCACCACTACAATCTCCATCTACATCCGAAGGAGATACACAACATGAAGTTAATGAAAGGAAAATTTCTCAGGGCAAGACTAAACAAGTGGCAAAAGATGGCTAATAGAGTCATACCTTCTGCAGCATGCAATAGCTGCTGCCAATGGGCTTTGTGGCTTTCCGTGCATGAAGAAAGCTCCATTCCAAGAGATGTCCCAAAGGGTCACATGGTAGTATATGTTGGTGAAAATTACAAAAGATTTGTAATTAAGATCACCCTGCTTGAGAACCCACTTTTTAAGGCATTGCTGGATCAAGCCAGGGAAGAATATGATTTCACTTCTGGCTCAAAACTCTGCATCCCCTGCAATGAGAACATCTTCCTCAGTGTTGTTCGATGTGCTACATCTCCGCAATGTCTACAACTCTCTTTGTGCTTCTGATGCTTCATCCACAAAGCTCCAGATTAAATTTGATTGAGGGGTATTAACTGCTAAACTAGAATGTGGATTTATATGAAACCATAACTTCTTGTACACCATGCTCAATTGTAAGTTATATTGGTAAGAACAGAGCTCTTATTTGCTGTTGTTAAGCATAAAAAGCAATTCATCCATGCAAAAAAAAAGGCCCTTTTTAAACCAGGGATCAAATACCCCAACTTAGCAAAACATTAACTGTGCAAAAGCTAGATTTCAGCTAAATGAATCCTTCTCCCATCAGCTTTATCTCGAACCAGATCTTCGTCTGGATCCTAGGCCTCTACTAGATCAGAGCGACTTGCAAGGCAACAACAAGCCTTGTTAACCAAAATCATTTGATGGCTGTCACCTGTACAGGAAGAACAGGTACGGAGGTATCACAAAGCTAACCAAGGATAATGGTCAATGGAGAAAACAGAATCCTTCTCCCATCAGTTTTATATCAAACCAAATCTTCCTCTGGATCCTAGGCCTCTACTGGATCAGACAGACTTGCAAGGCAACAACAAGCCTTGTTAACCAAAATCATTTGATGGCTGTGACCTGTAAAGGAAGAAGAGGCATGGAGATATCACACAGCTAACCAAGGATAATGGTGAATGGAGAAAACATCCCAACTTAGCCGAGAGATAAAGCTTCCATAAGACCTAGAATAGTAAATCAATCACTAATAGCATTATGAGAATGCCACCTGGTTACGAAGCTAGCTTTCATGTCCATTTCCCAGTACATTTACCCAAAATAGTTTAAGTTACCAGGACTTCAAATTCCCCACAATGTTGGAGTATAACACACATTGAAGGGTACTGTGCAACAAAGCCCAAGTCTACCTACCCAATTACTGGGTGATAAAAGCTTCGAGTTTTGGGAATTATACTGAATGTCTCATTCCTTGGGACAGGGGTTTGGGCTAGAGGAGTCGAACTCCATTTCTGTAGTCAAGCCATTGGTAAAAAGACTTGGCTGTACAACATTGCTACTATTCAAGGACTGTAGGCTATAAAATTTGTGTCATAACAATTTTTATGTACTCTTATTAACAAGTAGGCATAATTTTAAAAAGGATCGTATTGCCAACCGTGAGTCAAATACAAAAAGAACACACTCTAATACCTAAAGTGATGTAGAAAAACACTGTAACCAAAAAAAAAAGAGTAGAGCATTGCATGATTGATTTTGGTTGGTTTAGGTTAAGGAAAAGCAAGCTTTGTGATGAGGAAGAAAGGTTGTAAACAGTATTAGAAGAAGCAAGTTGAAGTTGGATAGGTCTCGAAGGTGTTGCATAACAACAAATTTGGAAGAAACACTTTTTAACATTCCTGGATGGCATTTATGTTGGGCTGTAAGGTGTTAGAGAAAAGACTTATTGCATAGAAAATTTCAGGACTTCAAAATAAAAGGAAAGAAAATTTTTGAGGCCTTTCCAGGTTTCAGAGCTAGCCCTGGAACTAGCAAACAATAGCTACTTAGCTAGGTTCTTTGTATCTCATGTTTCTAAGGTTGAATCTTTAACGGAAACTGAATGATCAAGCTCATTATAGTTTCAGTTTTTTTAAAAAAGAAATCAACAAAAAAAATTAAAAAGAGAAGAAAATGGTTCGCTTGGGCACATGCCCGACTCCGCTATGAACCTGCTTTGACCGCAGGTCAACCAATTCAACTGCAGGAGACTTTGCTGACCATCTCCAAGAAACTCCGGCTTTGCATTTCAATATCTCCCTCATAAGACCTCTATTTCAATTTTTTATGTACTAAATTGAAAGGTCTGTCATGAAAACGAGCCCCTTCAAGGGTTCTAAAATCTAAATTGCTGATTCACCGAAAAGTCGGTGTGGTGTGTGGACAAGCAAATTCTGATAATAACGCCCTTAACAATCATCCTTATCTTTTGAACTACTACATAAAAATGAAAGAAAGACATAGCTTTCGAGTAATCACTACAATCTGCCTTGAAAAAGAAAAAAAAACACAAAACACAATTACATAGAGAGGCCACTAAAGAGAAGTCCAATCTCTGTCTTTAAGGAGAACCAAATTGATATTTTCACACATACAACAAATTTAACCCAGCTAACAACCATATGAAACTCCCCAGTGCAAAATAACATCTGAATACACTAGGTCCACTCCTATAGCCCATCCAAAGTATCGTGACTACTAAAATAGAATCTAGAATTGAACAAAATTTTAAACACATAAGACAAGTATACAATGTCAAACTGGGGGTGCTATGCCAAAAATGATGCAAACATTTATAGTTGCTATTCTCAAGATTTAACGGTTCAGGAGCCTCTTATGTAATGCATAAACAAATTAAAGCACAAGTCACTGTACTTCCACACTCTTCATAAATTGGCTTTGTCGCATCAACATTCATATATGAGGGCATAGTTATTTCTCACTTTAAGAGCCTCAAGATGGAACATAGTCATAGAGATTTGTTCTATTATCCCTTTTCTTAACTTCCCTGGTAGCCCAAAGCCTTCAACCAATGACAACAATGGCATATATTGCTCCCAAAGATCTGATAAAGAGGCTAACAAGAACATGTCAAATTAGCTCTGCAATGTACATGGGCACATCTTGCATTTGGAAAGTGAAAAAAAATATATAAAAAAGAAATTCCAAGCAATTAGACCTTAGATATTAAATTGAATCTCGTATAATTTTCCAAATTGGCCTTGCTGTAGTGTTAAGTCAAAGGTTTTGTACGTAAAATAGAAAATGGTGCATTGGGGACTATTGTCTAGATTGTCAAGGCACATATCTAGGAAAGATTGAGGGTTCTGAAGGCAGAAGCTATGGCATTAGAGTATGTCCTCTGTAATTAAGGATTTGAAGTTTCACATAACCAGATAAAAAAAGATCACCAAGACAAAATGAAGCTCCCAGAGAATTTGGGATGAGGGCTGCCAATCCCCAGACAGCATCACACTGTTATACTCTTACCCAATAGCAGAATGGGAGGAAGAGAAGGCCAAAACTCCGGTATACAAAAACATGTTATGCACTCTTTTTTTTTTTTTTTTGAACTGGCATGTTATGCACTCAAGACTAAATAAAGTAGGTATAATAATCAAAGGATAGTCAAACTCCTAGTCCATAATTTCAATAGATCAAAACTCATTCCCTGCACTATCCTTTTTTCGTTTTAAGAAGCTTCTCCATGTGTCAATACATACAAAAGTTTTGACAGCATAAACTTCCAAAATAATTTCAGGCAGGAAAGAGACGAGTACCACCTCAACAAACCTCACAGTTCACAGACAAGACTAGACATCTACAACAGCAAACAAAGAAAGTGCAAGATAAACCCCTGCCTCAGAGGAGGAGAAGTTTCAACTGAACAATTTAGTTTGTGAATATTTTTTAGGGACTGGGGAAAAAAGGTATGGGATCCAATTCTAGCTCATGAAACAATATAGGCAAAATAATGTAAAAGCCATAGAATCAAGTGAAGCAATGCAATGGACAAAATCGTGCTAGTACGTCAATCAGGAAGACTGGAACTTTAATAAAGAAGAAAAAGTATTGTGATGAGATGTTCGATTAACACCAAATCAGCAACTTGTGATTCCAACAGTGGCTGAGCCTTCATTCAAATATTTTTGCTAGTTCTACCCAAATTTCTATTTGGTGGAACCAAATCTTGAACAAGTTCTCTCACCAAGGCCACAATTTAATTTTATTTATTTGCGACCTTATGGTGGAACACCAAGCGTATGTTTGTCATTCATATTTTTGCCTTCTCTAAGATAGCCCGTGCATAGTGAGCCCAACAAATACAACAGCATCAGAGAACAATGCTTTATGAATCTGCCAAAAGAACTTTGGGCATATTAGACAACTGAATGGAATTTCATGTAGCATTGGAAGGCATTTGAGGCAGGGATTGCCCACAAGAACAAGTGATCCACCAAGGAAAATCCTTGGTGACTTGGGCTAATGAAATTGGATCATGGGAAAATTTTGTAGATGAGGGACAAGGTTCGTCTTCTTACTCCCCCTAGGATTAGTGATAGAAGTTAAATAAGAGATGGTTATATTCATTCCATGCCAAAGCGGAATTCTTAAATATCATTCTTTTGTAAGAAAAATAGTTTATAGATCCTAACGTACCCCAAAAACAAGTTTACAGACCCTAATTTGCTCTTGAAGAGGCTTTATAACTTCTAACCGTGAAATTATTAATTAGTAAAAATTTTCTAGAATAGTCTATATATGAAAGCTGGTTAATGATTCAGAGATGTAAACTAACACAAAAGAGAGAGTTTTCTGGGATAGTTCTGCCACTGCGAACAGGAAGAACAGTAACCTAAATTAAGTTCGCTAAAACCAGAATGTTTTTTTTTTTTTTGATTGAAGCTATAATCAGAATGTTGTTTCACTGGAAAACGTTCTCGCACTCAGTATTACCCTCTCAAGAATGTCTGTTATGGCATTCAGATTTTTGCCATATACTGACACATCAAAGTACTGTAAGAGATGTTTCTCAAAGTGTTCATGACATTGCCTTAAAAACTCTTCTTCCAACCTTAAATAACCCAGATGTGGCCAAACCAGAAGCAAGGTGCATCCATAAAGGCCAAATATAACATGCAACACCAAGAGATAAATATTACAATACTGAGTCAAAAAAAGTATACTATAGCACAAGAAATTTCCAGAAGCATCTTACGTATCAGTCCCTAAATGTACGCAATCAATGGGATATGGAAAAAGAACTATTAAGAGTGGTTGTATATTCTCTAACATAACTGAAAAATAGCCAACAGTAGGGCCAAATAAGGCTATCCCCTTAGATGTCATTAAAAAGAGAAAATTATATTTCAAAGATAGAACCAAGATGAAAACACATTATAGTTCAATGACAAAATTATATTCCAGGGATAGAACCAAGATTGCAACACATTATAGACGAGAAATTTTGTCAAAATATGCACAATTAAATATCTGCTCGTAATGAAGTACATACAACACATCATTGCTGGCAAAGTCACCAAAACAATGGCAGTGCCTAATCATATATACTGCAAAACATTGAACACATAAAGCACCAAAACATTACCACTATCGTTGGAGTCACAATTGTGGCTGTGAAGTATACCATCATTTACTTTTCCCGAAAATCATCTAAAATCTTCAAGAAAGCCCTCCAACTCCATTCTCCCAAATGACCTTCCAAACAAAGTAGCATCCTTGTACCTCGCCGCCAAGTAATATGCCAGCCAAGCCACCATAAAATAAACCTCCATCACAGATTGGAAAGCAGAGGCAAACAAATTCCCCAAAAATCTGGTCAGTATCCATTGGGTGAACGAGCCACAAATAATTCCCTCCAAACACTTAATGCTGATAGCGGGGCCTAACATTGTTGACAACAAATGACACCCGTCCTTCAGAACCTCCCTCCCACTCTTCCTCGAGTCCACCATGGCAACCCACGCATCCACAGAAAAAATAAATGCCACTAACATGTCCCAGAAGAACCATAAAAACACAAATCTCAGACTCTCCCTCTCAAACCTTTTTATCCACAGAGTCATAATGGAAAATGGCATCAACTTCAACCTCACAAAGATCTTGAAAAACAAGTACTGATCTTTAATTTCACCAAAGCACCAGATGCCCAATAACTGTGTCAACGCATCCCTTACTGCCCACCTCATAATAATAAACCCAGAAAGCCTTTTGAGACCCAAATTGGAACCATCCCACAAAGTCCTAAAAAAGGACCTGTACTTCCCTAGCAAATCATTCACAACCACAAAGAAAACAGTCCCAAGTACCCAAGCATACGTAACTAAAAAACCCAAAACCACATACCCATATGCAACAGACAAAATTCCCGCAATAAATAATAACACGGTCGCATCCCGGCGACCCAACTCCAAACCCCGAATAAAGAACTGTAATTGCGCAATTATTTCACCTTCGTTAACTTCCGCCTCTTCTCTCACCAAATCATGAGTTTCATTTAGCTGATCTGAATATAGAGACTGCTCGGGAGCTTTGAAAGGCACCCCAGAGCGGATTGTTTCATAAGCCCGAATTCCATTATCGGGAATGTTACTTGAAAACCCTAATTTGGGATTGAGAATTAGATAGGAGTGATTGAGTTGGGGTTTGGGATTGGGATTGGACCCAAAAAGAGAGCGATCATAGTTGACATCGCCGGAGAAGAAGTCGTCATCGAGAGTACCGACGCGGGTGAAGTGGAGGAAAGCGCAGCGACGACGGTGGCGGAGGACATGGTGTTCGTGGTGGGGATAATGAGATCGGCCAGCAATGTCGAGGCGGGAGAGGAGGGATATGAGAGAAGGATCACGGTCAATGAAGGAAGTGAGGTAGTGGGTACCGTTCTCGACATTGCAACGGAAGGTGAAGATTAAGAAGGATAGGAAGAGGAAGGTGAGGAAGTGAGAAGTGAAGATTGTTGTGGTTTGTTTGAGGAGTTGGGTGGTGGTGTGGTGGTCGATGGCTGGTGGTGGCGTATTACGGTGGGTCCTGGCGGTTCTTAGGCTCTGGAGAGAGGTATCAAATGAATGATAACTGATCTTTATGCTTCCAATCGACGAGAGATTGACACAAGTATAATTCCAAGTTACTGAAGTAACATTAAATCCATCTTAATCGATTTTTACTTTTTTTTTTTTAAACTTTATTCAGTTATAAAATTGACCAAAAAACTAAAACTTTGATCTAAATTTTTTTATAATTATTACTTAAATGATCACGTAGATTTCTTACTTTGTGGGGGCACAACAAAAACATGTCATAACATTAGTTTATCAATAACATGATTTATCCGACCACAACAAAAACATGTCATAATTAAAATATTATATAATTTGAAAATAAGATGATTGGACAATAACTGTGTCCGTTACAGGGTTAACTCACATTATTTCTTTTAAAAGTCCGCAAAAATATTCAGATGATTGTAGATTTATGCCAATGTTGAAACACCATTGAATAAGGCTTTGGATGTCAGTATACTATAATTTCAAGCTCCACTGTTTTTTTCCCTATAATGCAAATTACTCTTAAAAACTATATTTTCATGATACAATGCTTAACTCCTCAAGGCTTTCTAAGAATCTTAAAAGTCTTAGAACCAAAATTATGCAAACTAAAAGTTTAAGAAAGAGAGTCGTTTTGATTGTTATTCCTTTTTCACTTATTTTTTCATGTAAATATGCATATATACCGAGATATATATGATAATGCACAAATTAGATTTGTACATCACCTGTTAAATGAATAATGAGAAATGCAGTAGTAAAGTAGAGAGATGGAAACACGGGCAAGACAAGGATTTATAGTGCTTCGGTCAACGTGACTTATGTCCACTTTAATGGCTAGGCTTGACGGGGTATTTTATTACTTCAAGTGTGTAGCGAGAGCAAGAAGATACAAGCTATGAGAGTAACAGAGATGTGCTCGACTAAGTGTGATGCCCCACAAGTGTTGGGGGGCTTACAATTTATAGTTGTCTCCTAACAAATTGAAGTGACTTATTAGTAAGTAAGTGACTAATCTAGTGGAGTTGGCACCCTCTTCTCAACGGATGAGGCAGTTGCGGTGCTCCCCATAAGATTCGATCAAATGATGATGTAAAGGTTGACCCTTTCCAAGGCGGCGTGGATGAGGCTCTTGAATAACCCTACTTATTTCCTTGGTAATGTAGTTCCTCAAACCCTAATGAGCTTAAGCGGGCATGAACTCCTTTGGGCTAGACTTGCTGGATTTCTTAGAGTTGGGCTCTTAATTTGCAATGGGCTCACAAACGTAGGTTGGCCCCTTGGGGTTGACCCATCATTTGCCCCCAATGTTTTGTGTCCAATGGAACTTAGAATGGAGGGCATTCGGTTGAGTTTGAATTTTAGCTGAATACACAACTGGAAAAATTTCAAGAGGCCAAAACATATATTTCAGTCAAAGGCTGCGAGATTGGTAGGGCTCGCTGAGAGTTTCGATTTGATATATTATGGGCCCCGTTTGGAGAAATGGATCAAAAGTTACGGTCAAAATAGCGATCAACCTTTCTTGAACTTGGATTCCTCATAGACTCCTTTCATTCCTGATATTTTCCACCTTTGCAGAACTTCTCAAGACCTTCCCCATTTTATATTTGGATTCTAGGAGAGTCCTTGGTTTCAAATAGGGACTTTTCCCCTTTTTTCATTCCTTAATAGGATTTAAATATTCCTGGGCTATACATAAGGAGTTTCGTCCCATTTCACTCATTTCATTCATTTTGAGAGAGCTCTGAGAGAGGACTTCTTTGTGAGACTCTTGTCTTCAAGAAGTTAGGGTGAGATTTCTGAATGGAGTATCCAAAGGCAATGTCGATTGAGGAGGGGGATGTGCAAAGTTCCATCGGTATCCATGGGAATAGAGTGATCGGTACTGAGGTAGGCAACCATGAGGTCACTAGCACGATGGAGATCAAAAGAGGAGGCGTCAAAGATGGGGCACCTTGGGCGCTGCCTGATAAGGCGACCCAGGTAGAAATAGGCGACGGCGCCATGGGCTCCGCTAAGAGGAGGAAATTGGGGTCGCCGCTGGTGAAGAAGAAGAGGGTGAGAAACAGGGAGGTGGGTAAGCTGGCGTCGAAGTAGGGACCCACGGCAAGGGGGCAAGACTACCGAAGCAGGCGCGGAGCGAGGGACAATGGATGGGTGAGCAGGCCTCTTGTTGGTTGCTGATTGTGATTGGGTGAGCCCGCTAGGAGTTGGGCATGGCCTGTTCGCGACGGGGTGAGCGCGCCAACCATTGGGCATGGTCTCTCCGCATGGGAGTTGGTTGGGTCATCCTCGTGGGACGAGCCTAGTGTGGGGTTTGTGGACGCCGGTCATAGACCTTCGTGAATGCCAAAGAAGAGCTCGTTGGGCACTTCTAGTGGAACTTCTCAAAGTCAAATTCTTTAAGGGCTCCTTGCTAATGGCTCGGGCAACCCTTCATGCCTTGTAACAAAAAAGGTAGCTCTTGACGACAATGGATCCAAAGTAAGTACTATTTCTAGCACGCTTAATACAATGTTTATATCTTATGGATTACTTCTGCTTATAACATTCCTCCTACAGTATTGTGCTGTCGAGCTGAGATGGGTAAGTTTGCTTGTGATGACTTCTCTGGAGACATTGTTATCTATAGGAGATGCTTGAGGCTGGGCTCAAGTTCCCAATGCCCTCTTCCATTTGTCATATTTTGCATTACTTTTCACTAACACCAGGGCGGTTGGTGCCCAATGGTTGGAGAGTTTTGCTGAATTTTCTGACATTGTAGAGGAAGGTGCATCATGAGGATGTCTCTCCTGATAAGTTTTATGTGGCTTACACTTTGACCGAGACTCCTACTCCTAATCGAGGCTGGTACAATTTTACTACAAGAAGAGGTAAGTTGATTACCGATTGTGCTCCAACTATTGTGGCTGGAAGTCTCATTTCATGTTTATCGGTGGAGAGTGGGCTTTAGAGGCTGATAGGACTTTGGTACCAATAGGATAGGGTACTCCTAAGAAAGTTGGTACGCCTTACACTTACTCTCTCTCCTTCACCCATCTTTTTTTTTTTTTTTTGTAACTGTGTACTCATCATACCCCTTGCAGATTCTTTTGTGCTCTCGAAGGACCAAGAGTGGAAGTTGCACGGCATGAGGGCTCATCTTGAAAAAGACTTTGGAGCTTTTATGCTCAAAGATGGTGGAGCGAGAGGTTCTCCTGCAATCAATGTTAGGGCTGGTGTACCCTCTTCGAGATCCGGCGGTTCTTCTTTGAAGAGAAATGATATATTGATTCTCTTGTACTTTCCTTTTTTACTTGGTTTTTCTCCTTTGCAGTGGATAAAACGGTGGTTGGGTCCCGTTATTCTAGTAGAAACACTCATCCTAAGGTGGCTAGGATGAGTGATACTTTGGCGAGCTCCTCTCAAGTGACCCCTCCAGTGGTGCCTCCTCGGTCAACAACTCCTTCAGATGTGACTGTTACTCCGGACACTCTCTTGTCGACCACACCTCCTGTCCCCCATTCATCGACTCCTCCTGTGGGAACTTCTATAGGGGCACCTACTCATATTGGCTCTATGTTGCGTGGCGCGCGAGTCATCAGGGATCGACTTGTGAGGTTTGTGTTTCCAACCGATGTTAATGAGATTAGTGCTCTGGACACCGAGGGAATCATCAACACTTTTCTGGAAGGCCTGGCTCAGGTAAGGGTTTGTTGTCTCCCTTTTTCCAGTCCTTCCTTAGGCGTTTGACATTCTTTTTCCTTTTACCTTCTTTCAAGTTTCAACTACCTCTATATATCTTTTTTCAAGAGCTTTTTATTAAGGTTAGCTGAAGCATAGCCATGAAGCTGTGAAGAAAGAGCTTCTTGTTGCTCAGGGAGGATTGCTGAGCTTGAAGTTGCTGATAGGGCTTCCTAGGCTAAGCTTGTGGCAACCCATAAGAGGGCCGCACTCAGAGAGGTTGTTTGCACGAGGGCTGAAGTGGAGCTTTTGGCGACCCGCGAGAGGGCGACTAAGTTTGAGATTGAGCTTTTGACGACCTATGAGAGGGACGCGCTTAGAGAGGCTGAGCTTGTGGATACTCGCGAGAGGGTCGTAATCAGAGAGGCTGCTTGCTTGAGAGGAGAGGCAGAGGTGAAGGCAGCTCACGAGAGAGCTTCTCGGGCTAAGGTGGACCTGTTATTAACTCGTGAAAGAGGCGTCAGGGCTGAGAATGATTTGGAGACTAGCCTTACATATGCCTTTTATTGATGGTTATGAGGAGCTTCGGAGAAAGATTTTTGCTATTTTCCCTGATAATTATCTTTTAGGCTTTGTGCCATATGAGGCGCTTGATGATAATGATAGAGGTTCTAATGATGTCGAGGGTGATGAGGAGGAGGAGGAGGAGGCTAACCATGAGAATAGTTAGAGTACTGGATACTTTTGATTTTTTAAGAAAGACAGTTTATAGCCTTACTTTTGTAAAAGTAATTTTTTTGCCACTAATGTT